CTTCCTACCTCTTCAGTGGGGAGCTTGTTCGGGACGTTACCAATGACTCTGAAAACATTGCATGAATAGACTTGCTCCCTGCTGCCATTGCGGTGAGGAGAGTATTCCTGAGTTACCCGCTGACCTCAGAGGGAGGAAGAGACCCTTGGTACAGAGCTGCCCAGCCAAGGGCCAGCAATCAGCCAAACTGCAACTGAGTGAGCTAAAAGAATGTTTATTGCTATCTGCCTTCAGAATAGGGGGCTGCCAATTTTATTGCAAAAGCTCACTGACCATCTGGGATAAAGAATGAATTTGTCATTCAGAACCCTTCCTTGGAATGGCACCTAGGATTATGAAATTTCCTTATTGTTGATTTCTATTTAGGGCCTGCTATGGTCTGAATGTTTGTGGCTCCCCGCCCCACCACCACCCATTCAAACGTTGGAATCCCAATTCCTAATGTGATGGTATCAGATGAGGCATTTGGGAAGTGATTAGGCCATGAGGGTAGAGCCCTCATGAAGGTGATGAGTGCTCTTATAAAGAGACCCCACAGCTCTAGCCAGTTTGGCTCAGTGGATAGGGCATCGGCCCACCTCCTGGTAGGTTCTGGGTTCTATTCCGGTCAAGGACATGTGCCTTGGTTGCAGGCTCGATCTCCGGTCCTAGTCAGGGCACATGTGGGAGGCAACCAATTGATGTGTCTCTCACATCGATGTTCCTCTAGCTGGCTCTTCCCTTCCCTTCCACTCTCCCTAAAAATCAATGGAAAAGTATCTTCAGGTGAGGATTAAACAAAAAAAGAGAGTGAGACCCCATGAAGCTCCCTAGTCCCTCTTCTACCATATGAAGATACAAGGAGAGAAATCAGCAACCTGGGAGAGAGCTTTCCGCCAACCACGCTGGCACCCTGACCTTGGAATTTCAGCCTTCAGAACTGTGAGATATAAATTTTTTTTGTGTACAAGCCACCAGAAGCAAGTAAAACAGGGCCTAACATTTTGAATAACGAATGAGACCCCTTTATTTGCAACACAATCTCAATTTCATTCACTATATAGAAGTGCAGTTAGTTGTCAGATATATGTATATATAAATAACAGAGAATCGCCTTAACCAGTTTGGCTCAGTGGATGGAGTCCCCTGAGGACTGAAAGGTCCCAGGTTCGATTCCGGTCAGGGGCATGTGCCTTGTTTGCGGGCACGTTCCCGGTGGGGAGTGTGCAAGAGGCAGCTAGCTGATCAATGTTTCTCTCCCATCAATGTTTCTAACTTTTTATCCTTCTCCCTTCCTCTCTGTAAAAAAAAATCAATAAAATATTTAAAATAAATAAAATTAAAACATAAATAAATAAATAAATAAATAACAGAGAATCTTTGGCCTGCAAAGCCAGGAAAAAAAAAAAAAGTAAAAAGTTTACTACTTGAGCCAAAACCGGTTTGGCTCAGTGGATAGAGCATTGGCCTGCGGACTGAAGGGTCCCAGGTTCGATTCCAGTCAAGAGCATATACTATGGTTGTGGGCATATCCCCAATGGGGGGTGTGCAGGAGGCAGCTGATCGATGTTTCTCTCTCATTAATGTTTCTAACTATCCCTCTCTCTTCCTGTCTGTAAAAAATCAATAAAATATATATTTTTTTTTAAATTTACTACTTGACAGAAAAGATATGCCCAATTATAACTCACTTCCTGACTCGGGAATGGATTCCTTTTCCTGGATAAAAAGGAAGCTAACACATTTGGAGATCTGCCCTCAAGGAGGAAAGGGAGGAGGGGTGTTGAATTTCAGTAGCAAGCGACAGTGTCCACCACCATTGCCACCCATTCTCCCAGCCCAGGTTATATGGCCCAGGACCAGTGCGAGGCACAGGACAAAGCCAGTACTAATCAGATACAGTGACAATGTCACAGGAGAAAATGAAGGTTACAGAAAGGGCCCTCGTCAGGTTCAAAAGGTTGGGCAAATCTATTATCTTGTTACCTCTTTTGTCATCTTTTGAAGAGCCATAGACAATAAAATTGTCCTTTATTCATTCACTCCTTTATTCAACAAGTTATATATTAAGAACTTGTTGGGAACTGCCAAAAACTGGTTTGGCTCAGTGGATAGAGTGTCGGCCTGCGGACTGAAAGATCCCGGGTTCGATTCTGGTGAAGGGCATGTACTTTGGTTGTGGGCACATCCCCAGTAGGGGTGTGCAGAAGGCAGCTGATTGATGTTTCTCTCTCATCAATGTTTCTAACTATCACTTCTCTGCCTTTCTCTCTGTAAAAACAAACAAAAAACAAACAAAAAAAACCCCAAAATATATTTAAAAAACAAAACTTGTTGGGAACTGCAGTCATTTGCTAGGGCTGCTGTAACATAGTGCCACAAATTGTGTGGCTTAAACAACAGAAGTATCTTGTTTCCCAGTTCAGAGGCCAGGAATCTGACTCAAGGTGTCAGCAGGGGTGGTTCCCTGTGAGGGAGAAATCTGCTCTATGACTCTCCTAGCTTCTAGGGGTCTGTCTGAAATCTTTAGTTCTTTAGCTTGTGGTAGCATCTCTCCAATTAAAAAAAAAAAAAAAGTTTTATATATATATATATATATATATATATATATATATATATATATTTTTTTTTTTTTTTTTTTTTTTTTTTTTTTAATTGCCCTAGCCAGTTTGGCTCAGTGGACAGAGTGTCAGCCTGTAGACCAGAGAGTCCCAAGTTCGATTCCAGTCAAGGGTACATACCTTGGTTGCAGGCTCCTCCCTGACCAGGCCCTGGTCAGGACTCATAAGGTTCATAGGTCAATGCTCTACCACTGAGCTATACAGGCTGGGCATCACTCCAATCTTTATGTGGCATTCTTGTGTCTCTGTCTCTGTGTCCAGATTTTCCCTTTTCATAAGGACACCAGTCCTATGAGATTAGGATCCACTCTAATGACCTCATCATCTGCAAAAACTCAACTATTTCTAAATAAGGTGACATTCACAGGTAACAGGGTTAGGACTTTAACATATTTAGGGGGAACACAATTCAAGTCATAGCAGGAACTTGTTTTGAGGCTACGAGGCCATGACAGACTTAAACTTGGGCTTACAGGAATTGGGGACGAGGGCAAGAAAAAAAAATAGGGAAAAAAGAGAAAATAGAAGAGAGAAGAGATGAAAGAGTAGGATTAGTAAAGAGAAACCAAAGACAGAAAACTTGCAGGAGGGAAGCAGGACCAACTGCATAATTTGTAAGATTGTACAAAATGAAAATTAAGAATTTCCAAATGGTGCCGGGACCAGTTTGGCTCAGTGGATAGAGCGTCGGCTTGGGAACTGAAGGGTCCAGGGTTTGATTCCGGTCAAGGGCATGTACCTTGGTTGCGGGCATATCCCCAGTAGGGGGTGTGCAAGAGGCAGCTGATTGATGACTCTCTCTCATCGATGTTTCTAACTCTCTATCTCTCTCCCTTCCTCTCTATACAAAATCAATAAAATATATTTTTAAAAAAATGGAAGATTAAAAAAAAGAATTTCCAAATGGTGATGATAGCAGAGCATTAAACCAAGCCCAATGCCCTTTTATTTATTTATTGGCCTTGTTTTTTGTTTTTAATATATTTTTATTGATTTCAGAGAAGAAAGAAGAGGGAGATAGAAACATCCATGAGGAGAGAGAATCACTGATTGGCTGCCTCCTGCATGCTCTCCCACTGGGGATCGAGCCTGCATGCACCCTGACCAGGAATCAAACCATGAACTCCTAGTTTATAGGTCAACCCTCAACCACTGAGCCATGCTAGCTGTGCAAGCTCAAGGCCCTTCTTAGAACAAGGCCCTGTGTGAGTTCCCTGTGGACAGGACTGTACTAGCTAATGTATTTTGAATCCACTTAAGAATTTCCTTTTTTGTTTTTTCATTATTTTTCTATGCTCTATGAGGTACCTGTGAAACAGTCATTTTTGTAACACCAGGCTCATTCTTGGCTTAGGATCATGCTAAAATCCTATCTCTCAAGGAGAAAATAGCCTAAGGAGATGGTGGCTACAAACAAGAAAAGCTTTTCTCCTTAGCTCTACAGAATGTTCGAGCAACTTTCCCAGAACACCCAAGAATCACCTTTCCTTTCAGTGTTTTAGGTCCTTAATTAGGATATAACTAATTTTTAAAAATATATTTGATTTTTTACAGAGAGGAAGAGAGAGGGATAGAGAGTTAGAAACATCGATGAGAGAGAAACATCGATCAGCTGCCTCCTGCACACCTCCTACTGGAGATGTGCCCACAACCTGGTCACCGGAATGGAAACCAGGACTTTTCAGTCCACAGGCCAACACTCTATCCACTGAGCCAAACTGGCTAGGGCTCTTTATTGAGTCTTGAAGCCTTCTATTGTAGAAATGTAAGAATTCATGGGGAAAAGAAAATTTGGGGAAAAGCTTATTTAAAAAAATATATATATATTTTACTGATTTTTTTTACAGAGAGGAAGGGAGAGGGGTAGAGAGCTAGATGAGCAACCAGCTGCCTCCTGCACACCCCCCACCGGGGACGCGCCCGCAACCAATGTACATGCCCCCGACCGGGATCGAACCTGGGACCCTCCAGTCCGCAGGCCGATGCCCTATCCACTGAGCCAAACCGGTTCCGGCTGGGGAAAACCTTCTTTCCACTGTAACAAGAATAACCCTGTAGCCGAACCCGGTTTGGCTCAGTGGATAGAGCGTTGGCCTGCGGACTGAAAGAATAACCCTGTAAAACTTTAAAAATGTTTTTATCTGAGGGAGAGAAGGGAGAAGAATCATCATCGACGAGAGAGAAACATCCATTAAAACCCCAGCATGTGCCCTGGCCGGAACCCAACCCGTGACCTCGCGACGACACGCCATCCACCGAACCACACTGGCCAGGCTTGCAAAACTTTTTAAATGTGGAAGTTCTCAAGTGTTCATATTCTAAGTCCAGCTTTAAGTAATTTTAAAGGCAGGGCGTTTGGGTCAAACTCCTAAATTCGGCTTCCCCCTCAGGTAGACTTACCTCCGTCAGGTTTCCTCCCTTCGCCCTTTCCTCTTTGGCACGTGACCCCTCCCACTTCCGGCTAGGGGCTCCCAGAGCGCAAGCGCAACTCCGGGAACCCTTCTTCAATCTCGCGATCTATGTGCAGAAGGGGCGTGGCTGGGCAATGCGCGGGAGAATGCAGGTCCACCAAACTCACGCGACCGTCTCCACCCACCTAAGTAGGCGGGCGGAGCCCAGACGCGCCTCAGGGCTCAGGCGGCGCACGCGCACTGAGGACAGGAGCGCCGCAAGAAAGAACAAGGGGCGACTTTACGCATGCTCATGTAAATGAAGCAAGAGGCTTCTACGTCAGCGTCAGAACCCGCCTCTTTCCTCTCCTCACCTGCCTCAGACTTTTAAAGGGCCAGACCCCCTTTTTCAAAGAATAACTTTTTTAAAAATTAAGCATTTCTTTAAAAAAAAGTAAGCACTTTTTGAGAGCCCACTACATGCCAGGCCCAACTTGTGTGCCTTTTCCAATTGTTCCTTTTGTGATCATTGTAATAATTACATTATTTTTTGCATAAATTTCTCCCTTTGCCCTAGTTGTACCATTCCTTTGGAGACAATAATTTGAAATGGGAAGCAAAGACCACTTTCTGGGCAGGTCTTCCTAGGTGAAGAGGCTTGAAATTGAATCCTGATTCCGCCACTTTCATGCTCTTTTACTTCAGATATGGTACTATCAAAATTCAGATATGGTACTATCAAATCTGTGAACCTAAGAGTTTGCTAATAATTTAAAATAAAATTTGTTTTCAGTTACAATTGACATTTAGAATTATTTTATATTACTTTCAGGTATACAACATAGCAGTTAGACATTTATATAACTTATGAAGTGATCCCCCCATAAGTCTATTGCCCACCTGGCATCATACATATTAAAATACTATATGGTATTTGTGCACCAGTGGAATCCCTCAGCCTGGCTGCGGGATTGGGCAGAAACCAGCTCTCTGACATCCCCCAGATTGTGAGAATGCACAGGCCAAGCTGAGGGACCCCACCAGTGCACGATCTGGGTGGGGAGGGACATAAGGGGATGGCCAGCTGGGAAGGGACCACTGGAGGGCTCCAAGAGGTGTCAGGCCCATCTTGCTCAGTCCCCATTGGCAGGACCCACATACCTGATGGAGCGTCTGCCCCCTGATGGTCAATGCATGTCATAGAGAGTGGTTGAGCATCCTTAGCATATCATTAGCATATTACACTTTGATTGGTTGAACAATCGGTCAACTGGACACTTAGCGTATTAGGCTTTTATTATCAATATATAGGATTACTGACTATATTTCCTATGCGGTACTTTACATCCCTGTGGCTATTTTATGAGTTTGCTGATTTTAAAAATGCTGATAAGGTTCCTACTTACCTCAAAGGATTATTGTGAAAAGTATAAATATTTTAAAAGTAGCCGAAACCAGTTTGGCTCAGTGGATAGAGTGTCGGCTTGCAGACTGAAAGTATGTATGTTAGCAATACTATGCCTCACACCAGCTATCTATTAAATAAGTAAAAAGTAGTCATGAAGTTAAATTATTTAATCCAAAAATTGTTTATAGTCCCTGTAACATACAATAGTTCCAGGTGATACTTCAGGAGGAAATACTTAATCACCAGGGTGGCTAGCGTGTATAATAGTGCCTATTTCCCCACAGTGTTGTCAATATCACAGCCCTTCGTTTTACACATTTTCCCTTGTCTAGACAGTACGTAATGGTATGGTTACTTCAACACCCTTTAATTGCTAGTGAGGCTCTGCATTTTTCCTTCAGATGGTTTATTATCTATTTAATTGTCTAACAACTATTTTCAAACACTGTAATTTCCACTGGCTTATCCCTGTAGACATTATGTTAGGGTCTGACATAACATTTTTCTGAACAATTAAAAGGAGGGGAAAAAAAAGAGGATTGGGGTGAAGAGAGAAAATTAAAAGGAAACATCCCTACAGAAGGGATAGAGACTAGAGGACAGAGGTCTTAGAAGCAGTGCGTCCCCCTATCTGGTTTGGTTCAGTGGATAGAGCATTAGCCTGCGGACTGAAATCCTCTCTGAAATCAGTGAAAACATATTTTGAAAAATAAAAATATATGATAAAAAATAAAAAAAAGAAGCAATGTGTCCGGTAGAATTTGCTATGATAAAGGAAATAATTTGTATCTCTGCTGTTCCTATGGGAGTCAGTAGCTACATATATCTACTGAATACTTGGAACCTGGCTAGTGTGACTGAGGAATTGAATTTTGGTCTCATTAAATTTATTTATTTTTTAACATTTTAAAAATTGGTTTCAGAGAGGAAGGGAGAGGGAGGAAGAGATAGGAACATCAACGATGAGAGAGAATTAGTGATCAACTGCCTTCAGCACACCCTCCACTGACTGGGGATAAAGCTCACAAACCACCCAGTCATGTGCCCTGACTGGCAATAGAACCGTGACCTCCCGGTTCATAGGTTGACACTCAACCACTGAGCTATGCCGGCTGGGCAGCTTTATTAAATTTAAATATTAAACAGCTATCTTATTGATGGCATAACCCCAGAGATTAGGAAAGAAAAAGAGAAAGGAGGTAAAAAGGGATGTGCATAGTCATTCAGAAGTGGTCTTATAAATATGAAGGGACTCAAATTTAGATTTTTGGTATTTTCCCAATGAGACAGTCCTAGACAAGGGTGTGTTCAGTTTGCAAATATCTATCACGCTATATACACTGATGATATTTCCACTTTTCCATGTGTATTTTACATTCAATGAAAATTTAAGCCCTGACCAATTTGGCTCAGTGGATAGAGCATTGGCCTGCGATTGAAAGGTCCCAGGTTCGATTCTGGTCAAGGGCATGTACCTTGGTTGCGGGCACATCCCTAGTAGGGGGTGTGCAGGAGGCAGCTGATCAATGTCTCTCTCTCATCGATGTTTCTAGCTCTCTATCTCTCATTCTCTGTAAAAAAAATCAATAAAATATATTAAAAAAAAGAAAATTTAAACTATATTTGCCATATTTGTGTTACACTCTTTAAGCGTTTTTGGCTTAGGGGATAGAGTGTTGGCCTGTAGACTGAAGGGTCCCAAGTTCAATTCCAGTCAAGGGCACATGCCTGGGTTGCAGGCTCGATCCCCAGTAGGAGCCGTGCAGGAGACAGCCGATCAATATTCTCTTTCATCATATATATATCCCTTCTTCTCTGAAATCAATTAAAAAATATACATTTTTCTGATTTTTTATTTAAGCGAAGTCTCCAAAAATAGAAGTGGGCTGTGACTAGCTTTGGACACCTGAGAGCCCCTAGAGGGCGCTCATTCTGCATCAGAGACTTGAAGGCTTCATTTCGAGAATTCACATACCACACATTCATTCCTTTAAAGTGCAAATTCAATGTCTAGTCTGTTCACAGGGTTGTGTAACCACCACCACAGTCAGTTTTAAAATATTTTCATCGCTGCAAAAGGAAACTCTCTGCCTATACCCTTCCTAACTCCTCCCAGTCCTCCTCTCCAAGCAACCACTAATTTATTTTCTGTCTCTAAAGATTTGCCTTTTCTGGATATTTTTTTATAAGAGTAATCATATAAAAATGTGACCTTTTGTGTCTAGCTTCTTTCACTTAGCATGTTTTCACAGTTTATTCATGTTGTAGCATACATCTCTATTTCATTCATTTTTATGGCTGGATAATATTCCATTGTATGATCTAACTGGTTTGTCTCAGTGGATAGAGCGTCGGCCTGCAGACTGAAGGGTCCCAGGTTCGATTCCGGTCAAGGACATATACCTTAGTTTTGGGCACATCCCCAGTGGGGGGTGTGCAGGAGACAGCTGATCGATGTTTCTCTCTCATTGATGTTTCTAACTCTCTATCCCTTTCCCTTTCTCTCTGTAAAAAATCAATAAAATATATTTTTAAAATATTCCATTGTATGGATAGACGCATTGTGTTTATCCATCCATCTTTTAACTAATACGTAGAACTCCTTCCACCCAACATGCAAACAAGGCCCCTGAGAAGAACCCAGCCGAATTCTAAGCATTCAAATCTGGCAAGTAATTATCAAAAGAGTAGTTAGGACAGGGGCCTTCAAGCTTGGTGCTCCTGACACTTCAGTATTCAACAGCTGCCAGTCCTCAGCAACTACTCAGGAGTTTGTGAATAATGATAGCAGATTCTGACTGGAGAAGAAAAAGAATCTCATAGATTTGTGACCTGCCTTTCCAGCTGGCCTGCAGATAAGCTTTCACCTGCCCCAAATGCTTCTCTTGGGGACAGTCCTGCCTTCCCCTGAACCAGGGTCTAACTAGGGGCTGTGGGAGGACTGAGCTTTGTGACTGTGTCTTTGCCTGGCCTTGGAAAGAGACGATTTTAGGCCACGGGACGCCATTCACCAGGCAGCAGAGCAGCTCTGGACAAAGCCATGAGCCAAGGGACAGTTTGACCTACTTGGCGGGGCATGCTGGCCAGGTACTTAAGGAGGAAGGCAAAGGTCTTGAGAAGTGTCACCGAGTGTCAGCAGCATGACTGGCCAGGGATGACTTTGGACCCTAGCTAGGCTACTCCGGATTTAGGGACTGTAATTCAGAAAGAGCCAACTAATTTTAGTGATATACGAGGAAGCCACTATGAATATGAGAACAATGACGGCGAGAGAATGAGATAGAGCTAGAAATAGAGACAGAGAGAGATAGAGGGGATGATTGTTTTGCTGTTGACAGCTTTCCAAACGCTTGTATCCTTAATAAATTTCCTTTATTGGGTAGTATGAGATGGTGTCTCTACTTGCAACCAAAAGACCGTTGGATAAAGCAAGAAGATACACTGTGCAAGTTCTGTGTCCATTAGTTACTACCCACTGAGGGAGAGGCACACACTCAGCAAATTAACTATAAATGATGTGGAAAGTATAGAAATCAGAGCAAAATTCTCATTCCACCTGAAGTGAAGAGCAAGCAATGAAGGAGCACCCACTGGAGCAAAAATGACACTTCAACAAATACTGTATGAAATCAGTGAAACCAGGTCCCCAGAACAGGTATATCTGTTAAGACAAAGTAGAACAGAGGTTAGAGAGAGGAATGGGAAGTTGTTGTTTAATGGGTACAAGAATTTTAGTTTGGGCCTGGCTAATGTGGCTCAGTGGTTGAGCCTTGACCTATGAGCCAGGAGGCCACATGAATAGGTTATGGGATGGATCCCCAGTGAGGGGCATGCATGAGGCAGCCAATCAATGATTCTCTCTCATCATTGATGTTTTTATCTCTCTCTCCCTCTCCCTTCCTCTCTGAAATATATATATATATATATATATATATATATATATATATATATATATATTTTTTTTTTTTTTTTTTTTTAAAGGATTTTAGTTTGGGTTTATGAAATGTTCTTGAAAAGGATAGTGTGAATGATAGCACACTATTGTGGATATACTTAATACCACTGAGCCTTTACCCTTAAAAATAATTAAAAGGATATATATATATATATATATTCACAATAAACAAAAAACAAATCACAAAAAGAAAAAATTACACCCAAGTTCAACCAGTCTTGAAGTCGGGGCCTTCAGATTCAAGTGTCAACCAATCCCTGTCTACGGGACACACAGCATGGGTGTCAGTTTCCAGACTCGTCCGGTTCTCTGCTGGAACAGAGGAGCGGCTGCAGGAGCTCAGAGCTGCAGATGGAAGAAGAAGCCGCTCGGTCCCTAGCAGGCTGCTATCAGGAGGAAAAGAAGACTTGGCTGAGGGCACAGAAGAGGCAAAGGCCCTGAGGCGGGAACATGCCAGGGGGAATGTTCCAGGAAGCAAGTGTGTGTAGGGCAGGAGCAGAGGGAGAGGGGGCACTGAGTAAGGGACAAAGTCAGGGAGGACAGGGAGGGAGGTGGGCAGATGAAGCAGGGCTTTCACTACGGCTGTGGCTTCTGCTCTGAGTGACTGTGTGGGGGTGGGGGACGACAGGAAAAGGATGTGAGCTGAGTTGACTCAGGCCTACCTGTGTCCAAGTAACATGTACGCATCTTCCAGGGTTGGAGGGGGGTATAAAAACCTTCCTCGGATTCTCAGAGGCGGCTAGCAAACCCCCACAAGACTAAGAACCCGTGTGGCGCCAAAACTGGTTTGGCTCAGTGGATGCAGCCCCAGGTTCGATTCCGGCCAAGGGGGCATGCCCCTTGGTTGCGGGCACATCCCCAGTAGGGGGTGTGCAGGAGGCAGCTGGTCAGTGTTTCTCTCATTGATGTTTCTAACTCTCTATCTCTCTCCCTTCCTCTGTATAAAGAATCAATAAAATATATTTTAAAAGAAAAAGAAAAAGAACCCGTGTGGCCTTGGTTTTGCCACTTGTATCTTGGCAGAGCCGCCTTTAACCCTTTCCTGCCTGTTTCCGGCCTTGTATTTGCCCTGGGAACCCCAGGCAGGAAAGGGGCAGGCTCCCTCCTCCCGCCCCTGCACCCCTTCGGCCACCAGGCGGGTGCACCTGCCGGCACCCCACTTCCCCGGGGCCCCGGGACTCCCCTCCCGGCCGCGGAGGACCCGCCCCGCCCCCCTCTCGCGGCCCGGCAGGAAGGGGCGGTGCCTGCCGGCGGGCTGTGCTGTAGCCCCGCGTTGTCATAGCGACCCCGGCCGGGGCCTGGGACCCCGCAGCGCGCTCTGCGGGCTGCGATTGAGGCGGAGGCGGTGACACCCCATCCCGCCCAGGGGGGGACCCCGGGTCCAGGCTCCGCCGCCGGGCAGGTGAGCGCCGGGGCAGAGGACGCAGGGGCTGCCGGGCGGTGTCTCTGAACGGTCCCCTAGTCTTCCCAGGCCAAGTTTCTAGCGTTAAGGGCCAGCATGTGGACTGGTCATGCTGGGTATGAAATATGTGACCGTCACCTCCGGCCCCGGGGCAGCTTCTTTCCGACGTCATCACAAACGCAACTGCTCGACTGGTTTCCCTGGTTCCCAAGTAATTGTGCCATCAGACCCCCTCCCCCTCGCCCTCCCCCTCCCTCCAGGGGGGTCCCTGGAGAAGCAAGGGAGGAGACAGCCGAGGGTCAGTCCAGCACAAAAGAATCCCCTCCGAGGGCAACTCACCTGCCCCAGGGACTCAGGACACACATGAGTCACCCGACTTGAGCTCAGACAGTGCCTCCCGGGAAAGCCCCAGAGCCCTGGCAGAGCTGGAGGCACACTGAGCCCCTGATGTCCCTCACTCTCTGTGCCAGCGCCCTCTGGCCCCGCCGAAGCAGCCAACATGCCTATCTCCAAGTGCCCACCCAAGTCCCAGCCCCCGTGGAAGGAATGGGACCAAAAGGCCCAGAAGAATGGCCTGAGACACCAGGTCCATGCTGTCAATGGTGACCGCTACGTGGGCGAGTGGAAGGACAACATGAAACATGGTGAGTAGGGGACCTCCAGGGGCTCAGGTGGGGGGTCTGAGCCAAGGAAATGGGGTGCAGAACTCATGGGGGACATGAGATATGTCCCTGAGGCTCCTCCAAGGGGTGAATGCTGACCTGGACCAGCCAGGGACCTCCACATGGAAAGGAACTCAGCCCTGACTTCAGCTGCGAGAAAGTCTCAGGGACCAGTAGGGCCGCCCAAAGCAGTCTGGAGACACCATCCCCAGGCACAGCTGGGGCTCAGGAGACACCAGCTCTGTCCCACTCTCCTGGGCTAAGCCTTCGGCTGGCTGGCTAGCGGGAGGAAAAGGCAGAGGCCGGAAATCAGCTTGCAATTGGGATGCTGGTCTTCAAACTCAGCCCTGATGTGGATTCTGAGCAACAGGTGGTAAAGGAGGACCCCTCCCTTCCCTCAAGTAGCTGGGGCTCAGACTTTAACTGCATTGGGCTCTGGGTCTAACCAGCAGGGGGGGCACAGGAGTCCTGTGATACAAATGAAGACCTGAAGGCAAAAAAAAAAAAAAAAAAAAGTTTTCATTTTAAAAAGTGGCATGACTTTTCATTCCAGTCTTGCAATTCCAGATTCTTAACCCCTATTCTCTCCCCCTTACCTGCATTGAATGAGGTGGAGTCCATAAACCTGGGTGAGAATCTTAGTTCCACCAACTATGACCTTGAGTGACCATCAACCCATTCAGGGCCTCAGTTCCCCTACCTGTAAAATGGAAATAAAGCTTATCTGTGAAGATAAGAGATGACATCTATCAAGCATGGAACCCAAGGTCTGTGCAAAAGGGAAAGGGTGTACGAAGAGGCTTATAATTTTATTTTTTAAATAAGTTTTTTTTTATTGGTTTTTACAGAGATAGGAAGAGAGAAGGATAGAGAGATAGAAATATGGATGAGAAACATCATCCATCTCCATCAGCTGCCTCCTGCACACCCCCTGCTGGGGATCATCGAGCCCACAACTGGGCATGTGCCCTGACTGGAAATCGAACCTGGGACCCTTCAGTCCGCAGGCTGACGCTCTATCCACTGAGCCAAACCGGTTTCGGCAAGGCTTGTAATTTTAAATGGGATAGTCAGGGTAGGCCTCATTAAGAAAATGAGATCTGAGCAAAGACTTGCAGGAGATAGGGAATGAGCGGATATTTGGGGAAGAGAATTCCAGGCCAGGGAACAAGCAGGTGCAAAGGTCTGGAGACAGAAGTGTACCTGGTGGGTTCCAGGAACAGTATGGAGGCCATCGCGGTTGGAGGGCAGTCTGAAGGATGGGAGTGGAGAACACAGAAGGGGGTGGAGTAGTAGGAGATGGGTCTCCAGGTGTGTTCAGGGGAACTAGTGAAATGTGCAGAACATGTTCCAGAAACTGTCCATGAAAAAAATCCCAAATCTGTCCAGCCAGTGTGGTTCAGTGGTTGAGCATCGACCATACACCAGGAGGTTGCAGGCTCCATCCCAGACAAGGCACATGCCCAGAAAGGGGCGTGCAGGAGGCATCCAATTGATCTTTCTCATCAATGTTTCTATTATTTTCTCTCTCTCCCTTTCTCTCTAACACCAATAAAAAAAAATTTTTTTTTAAATCCCAAACCCTAAGAAAGGTTTTTAAAGTTTATTTTGAGACAAGCATTTTGAGGTTAGTCCTGGAAGCAAAATCTAAAGGAATTGAGATAATGCTCCTGAGAACAGTTGTTTTGCAGCTATTTTATATGTTAGAATCAAAGGAGAAGACATAAGGCGGGCACATGAAATCCACAGGTGGCAGATTAAGGAGAAGGCAAAGCAGGGAAATCTCTAAAACTGGATAAAAAGTAAAATAGAGAAATACATACTTTTTTTTTTTTTACATTGGTGGTTACAGGAGAGTTAATATTTCACATACATAGTTTACAAAGGTATGTGGGCAAAGATAATAATGAAGAATGTTGTAGTTGTCTTGCCCCATATCGGGTTCTGAAGATAATTTTGATATTTTATTTTATTTATTTATTTTAAATATATTTTATTGATTTTTTTTTTATAGAGAGGAAGGGAGAGGGAGAGAGAGCTAGAAACATTGATGAGAGAGAAACATCGGCCAGCTGCCTCCTGCACACCCCCTACCAGGAATGTGCTCGCAACCAAGATACATGCCCTTGACCGGAATCGAACCTGGGACTTTTCAATCCACAGGCCGATGCTCTGTCTACTGAGCCCAACCGGCTAGGGCTGATTTTTATTTATTTATTTATTATTTATTTTCAATGATTGAAACATCCCTGCGGTTACTTCTAGCTATGGAATTTGCCACGCTTGCCAAGGTAGCCCCTTTTGGTTCACAAAACCCAGTTGTTACTTGGGGTTTGCTATGTCAATCTGGCTTCAAGGCAAAGGGCTGGAGAACCAACGTTTGTAGAAATGGAACTTTCTGGGTTTTTTTCTGGGCGCTGGTGCTCTAGAAACGAGGCACAGACCCTGTCCCAGTCCCCAAGAACCACCAAGTCTAGGGGCACATGAGGCCCAGGCAGACCCAGCCAACTGCCCCCCACACTCATGATGGCCGTGTCTGCAGTGTTGGCCATCTGTATGTCATCAGGAAAAGGAACACAGATCTGGAAGAAGAAAGGGACCATCTATGAGGGGGACTGGAAGTTTGGGAAGCGAGATGGCTATGGCACCCTCAGCCGTCCTGACAAAGAAAAAGGAAAGTACAGGAAAGTATATTCGGGCTGGTGGAAAGGCGATAAGAAATCGGTGAGTGGTTCCCATCATGCCCTGGGATGTGGGCCAGGCTGAAAGCATGTTCCGTGTGTGTGTGTGTGTGTGTGTGTGTGTGTGTGTGTGTGTAGGGGGAGGAGCCAGAGAGATCTGGGAGAATAGGGGGTGGATGGATTTGAGGAGGAAAAGGGGTACTGTGTGGGTAGGAGAAGGAAGGGGTGGGGGAATCCTTACGGCTTCTCAGAACAAAACCCAGGAAACAGGAAGGCGAAGGAGAGACCCAGGGAGGAGCCTGTGAAATCCTGTGGCTGCAAGAAGCCAGCCCGCAGCCTGAAGAACTCTCCTCCTCCTTCTCCCCGACTCATTTCCTGGCTTTCTTTTCCCTGGACGGCCCTTTCTGAGAATCCCCCTTCTGTTGGGCCAGGATAAGAAGAGGGTAGGAAGAGTGGGAGCAAGAAAGCTGAGGTCACACCCTTAGTCACCTGACAAGAGAGGAAGGTCCCACTTCCCAGGGGTAGAAGCGAGCCAGAGGCATGTTCTCACCATAAACATCAATATCCTCACCATAGGCCATGGAAACAGATAAAAATATATTATTACTATTGCACAACTGCTACTGCAATCCTGGAAAATGATATTATACTTGAGCTAACTTTCACATCATCATCATCATCCTCCTCTTTATTTTCCTGATGAGGAAACAAGCTCAGAGGTGAAGTACCTTGCTCAGGGTCACACTGCTGGCAAGTGGTGGAGCCCAGGATTTCTTGACCTCTGCTTTCAAATTGTTTACTGGCCAGTGATGAGAGAAGCGTTCGGATAGACTCTATCCTATAGAGCTTTGCACAAGGAGTCCAGAGGAACATCATGGAGCATTCACAGGAGGCTTCCCTGTTGGACTTCACACATACACACACACACACACACACACACACACAAAAGAAAAAAAGCAAAGAGTTAACCAGGGAGAAATAAAGGAGAAGGGGAAGTAGCAAAGGAGGCAGAAGTAACGAAAGGAAGGATATGTCAGCAAGGTGTGTGTGCCCACAGGGGTGGGAGTAAAGGGAGGCAGGAAGGGGTGGGCCTTGATCAGGATTTGGAGGGAGGCTTAACCCAGCCTCCTCAGATGTAATCTGCATGCAGGAAGGTCACGCTCATGTGATTGAATGCTGAGTATGGTGTTGATACTCATTTTCCCTGGGAGGAAAATCCATGGCTTTGATCTGATGTTCAGAGGCATCTGTGACTTTGAATGGGATCAAGTCAGAGTTGGGGCAAAGATAATCAGATGGGAGATGGAGAGATCCTCCTAGTTGCTGTATGTTGGATTCATGAGGGCAGGGAGAATGGGACATTGGAGGGAGGGGAGAGTGGGGAGGGGAGAAAGGACCGTGGGGCTGCATAAAGGCGGTAGCAGAGGGACAGAAGGACATGGACAGCCTGGAGAGATTTTTCCAGACGGGATGTAGGGCCCAGAGAGCAAGGAAGGTAGAAGCCCAGGTGCGTGGTGGTTTGGGTGCCAGGGAGGACGGCACGGGGCGTCGTGAACAGGGACACCCTCGTGCTTTCAGGGCTATGGGATCCAGTTTTACGGACCCAACGAGTACTACGAAGGTGAGTGGTGTAGCGACCAGCGCTGCGGGTGGGGCCGCATGTACTACAGCAATGGTGACATCTACGAGGGCCAATGGTGGAACGACAAGCCGGACGGGGAGGGCATGCAGCGCCTGAGTGAGTGTCTCGCCCCGCCCCGCCCCAACGGCCTGCTGGCCACGCCCCGACCTGATCACCAGGCCCCGCCCCTGCCCTCAGGGCTGCATTCTTCTGGGTCCTGAGTAACCCAGACCCCATCAGGCCACGCCCCTGCAATACCCCAAAAGCGCCACTCCAGTGTGGATTAAGGTGCATGACAGGACCAGATCCCTGCCCTCAGGGAGCTTAATACTCTAAAAGGAGAGCCTAACAATAAATATGAGCAATTAAGACATTTTCTGATGTTCATAACAATCATAGCCACACCTGTACGGTACTGAAATAATTTAATTTTTGCCACGATTCTATAACAACAGGTGCTCTTATTCTGACTCTACAAATAAAAGGAGGCACAGAGAGGTTAAAGTTACTAGGTCAAGGCCATGCAGTTGTGACATGCAAAAGTGCTAAAGGAATTCCCCTTAAATTCACCACCATCAGATGAGAAGCTGAATTGACTCCCCCATGAAAAACATGGACTCCTGGGATGGACAGGCCTTGGTTTTAAGTCTTGCCTCTGTCACTTTCTAGCTCTGTGACCTTGAGCAAGTCAGTCAAACTCCCTGAGCTTTGCAAGCTCCATCTGTAAAATGGAGTCCTTCATCCTTCATAGCATTGTTTGGGAGGAGTGATGTCAGAAACAGGCAAGGAACCAGGTACAGAGTAAGTGCTGCAAAAAAAACACTACCGATTCATATTATAGCTATATATATATATATATATATATATATATATATATATATATATATATTATAAGTAGGAAACCATGTGGCTTGTTCAAGTAAGTAGTGAAGGCAAGATGTGAAACAGGTCTGATGTTTATAGGTCAGTTGTCCCAGACCCCACCCCATCTACCAGCCCAGCTCACTCTAATCAACTTAGTTTTGTTCTGGCTTCCTGGTGGGCCTGGTGCCTGGCCTGGAGTGGCAGAAGGCCAGCCAGGCCTGCTCTGCCCTTTCTCCCAGAGAACGGGAACCGCTATGAGGGCTACTGGCAGGGAGGCCTGAAGAACGGGCCGGGACGATTCTTCCACCTGGACCACGGTCAGCTATTTGAAGGCTTCTGGGTGGACAACATAGCCAAGTGTGGCACCATGACTGACTTCGGCCGAGATGAGGCTCCGGAGCCTACCCAGTTCCCCATTCCTCAGGTGGGCAGCTCTCCTCAGCGCCCTGTGACCACACCCAGACAGAGACAGAGACAAACAGCTCCACCGCCTCCTACCACACCCAACCTGGCCTGATCCAGCCCAGTCCAACCAGGGAACAGACAAGGTTTTGTTTTCAGTCAGGGTATCTCCAGGGAGGCAGGTAGCACCTCACCAGGCAGACAGCACCCCCAAAAGCAGGCGGCGCCTCAGAAAACTGGCACCCTGGGACTTCCGTGCTCCTCAAACCCATCCCTGCTGTTTTCCCCCAGGTGGAAGTTGTAGATCCCGACGGTGTGCTGGAGGAAGCGTTGGCCATGGTCAAGAAGAAAGATGAGCCCAGTGAAGCAGGAACCAAGAGGTCACGGTTAGATTCCCCAATCCAAGCACATGCCCGGGGTTGGGTTGCAGGCTCGATCCCCATTAGGGGGTGTGCAGGAGGCAGCTGATCAATGATTCTCATCACTAATGTTTCTCTCCCTCTCCCTTCCTCTTTCTGAAATCCATAAAAACATCTTTTTTTTTTCTTTTTCTTTTTAATAAAAAGAAGAACAAGGAGACCGATACCAGGTGAGAGGGTGGGCACACCAGTCACCCTCTATGCGGGTCAGGCAGCTCCTGGCGTCTCCTTTGGGGGAGGGGTTCCTCCCCTTCAAAACCCATTTTATTGAAGCCCAGTCCATTCCAGTCCTGCCCAAATCCTCCCTTTTGTACCCTGGGCTTACTGGAACGCTGCTTGGAGGACTTCTTTTGCCCCAGGCCTCAGCTTGTCCAGTGGGTCCATCCAGTCCTTGCCCCTCCTGCTGTGGGCATTAGGTTTGAGGAGAGGGCACTGGTACAGTGTCTTTGAAACACCAGCTCCCACCCCGCCTTCGCCCCTGCAGAGACTCTCAGAGCTTCAGGAGAAAATCAAGTCCGCATCATCCAACTGCTCAAACCGGTGGAGGAGTGAGTGGTGACTCCGGGCACACCCTTGGCATCCACAGAGAGCACCTCATCCTCCCAGCACTGGATCCTCCTTTGTCAATAGGGGCCAGTGCTTCTCTCCCCAGCTGGCCTTGGGGGTCCTCTTGTTACAGCTTTTATTCTAGGCCCCTATCCCTGAGTGCAGGAGAATAAAGGAGTACGTGGTGGCATTCGCCTGGGCCTGTGATGTGAGGTTTGGGGGGCAGGAGAGCCCCAGGAGGGATTTCAGGTAGAGAAGAGGGAAGAGGGCTCTGGCCTGCACGGGTTGACCCTACAGGGGAGAGAGAAGAGGTGTCTCCCAGCCTCTGAGCTCTGAGATGCTCCCAAGAGGAGAAAGCCTGCATTTGTCCACATTGGTCACTAAGATTTGGGGTTAAACCTGACCCAGCTTCTTCGTCTAACACAGGGGCTTGGACTTGAGGATCCTGTGGGAGCTTTAAAAGCTATAGAAGGCCACATTCGAAGCCCAGTTTCTCATCTGTCTGGGGTGAGGCCTGGGCCTTCAAAAAGCTTTCCCAGGTGATTTCAATGTGCAGCAGGGGCCAAGAACTCCCAACTTACTGGATGTGTGACCCTTAGCCAGGGACCTCCAGGCTTCAGCTATAAAATGGGACTTAGGAGATCTCACAGGGGTGTTGAGGATTTGCTAACAGATGTAACCATAATGAACAACATGTATTGAGGTTAATTGTGAAGCAGATACCTGGGAAGGGCTTTGCATCACTCATCTAGACAACATTCCTGCACGATAAGAGACTCTTACATAATGAGTAGGAACACGAGTTCTGCAGGCAGATTGCCTGGGTGTGAGTCCAGGGTGATTTATTAGCTGTGTGTTCCTGGGTACACCACCCAACCTCTCTATTCACCAGGTTTCCTCTTCTCTAAGATGGGAAATAACGGTACTTACCACCCAGGGCTGTTGTGGTTACTGTGAAGATCAAGTAAGGCAGCCCATCTCCTTCCCCGAGGACATCTGGCACATCCCAAAACATTTTTGGTTGTGAGAACTGGCAAGAATGCCACTGGCACTTAATGAGTAGAGACTGGGGATCCTGCTAAACGTGCTACAGTGTAAACTCTCAAAAGAATGACTCAGCCCATCCTCAACAGTGTAGCCCCGAAATACCATGATATATGTACAGGCCTCACCAAGCACCTGACATATAGTAAAGGCTCAATAATTGTTCACTGACACTGTCAAGTTTCTCTCTGCCTCTATATCATAAACAGGGCAGCCTGACCCAAAGCATGGTGCCTCTGATGCCAGGAAGCTGAGCCTGGCAGCCTTGGGGCACAGAATTAACAGAGAGAGCACCCACTTGGGTGCCAGGTCCTATGCTGACAACTTTACCTGTGTCCTCTTCCATGACCCCTCATCAAGCTGTGAGGTGTCCTACTATTATTAGTGCCATTTTTATTGTTGTTAATCCTCACCCGAGGATATTTTTCCATTGATTTTTAGGCAGAGTGGAAGACAGGGAAAGACAGAGAGAGACATGGATGTGAAAGAAACACACTGATTGGTTGCCTCCTGCACGAGCCCTGACCAGGGCCTGGGCTGGGGAGGAGCCTGCAACCAAGGTACGTGCCCTTGACTGGAATTGAACCCAGGACCCTTTGGTCCACAGGCTGACGCTCTATCCACTGAGCCAAACCAGCTAGGGCTATTAGTGCCATTTTAGAGTTGGAACTGAGGTCCAGGGAGGTTTCCAAGTCACCAGGTTTAAGTTGATTGTACTTAAATAGAGGCCTATCTGCTCTTAAGGTAAAAAGAACAGTGGTGAAGTGTGCAGGCTACCTTTTTTTTCAGAAAAAGCAGAAGTGTGTGCTGGTTTATGTATAACTCTCTCTACATGGGAAATAAAGTGAATTGGCAACAATGGTTGTCTCGCCCCCTGGCTGGTGTGGCTCAGTCGGTGGAGCATCCTGACATGTACCAAAAGATCAACTATTCAACTCCCAGACGAGGTGTGTAGGGAGGTAACCAATCAATGTTTCTCTCTTACACTGATGTTTCTCTCTCACCCTCCTTCCTTCCTCTCTAAAGTCAATTTTAAAAAATACTATATAATAAGCCAAAACCGGTTTGGCTCAGTGGTAGAGCGTCGGTCTGCGGACTGAAAGGTCCCAGGTTCGATTCCGGTCAAGGGCATGCACATTGGTTGTGGGCACATCCCCGGTAGGGGGTGTGCAAGAGGCAGCTGGTCGATGTTTCTCTCTCATCGACGTTTCTAGCTCTCTATCTCTCTCCCTTTCTCCTCTCTGTAAAATATCAATAAAATATATATTAAAAAAAAATCCTATATAATAAAACCCTAATATGCAAATAGACTGAACAGCAGAACCACCAGTCACTATGATGTGCACTGACCACCAGGGGGCAGACGCTCAACGCAGGAGCTGCCCCCTGATGTTCAGTGCACTCCCATAGGAGGAGTGCAGCTCAGCCAGAAGCCAGGCTCATGGCTGGCAAGTGCAGTGGCCAGAGCCTCTTCCTCCTCCTCAACAACGCTAAGGAGCAGAGAGCAGATGGACAGTAAGGAGTGAGGGGTCCCAGGCTGCGAGAGGGCACAGGTTGGATTGAGGGACACCCGGCCCCCCTTCCTCCCGGTGCACAAATTTTGTGTACTGGGCCTCTAATACATATATAAAGTCATTATCTCTGGGGAAGACTTGGGAACCTGGGAACAGGGAAGGGAAACATTTCACTGTGTATCTGGAATCATGTGAATGTATTATCTATTCAAAATATGAATAAAATTGAAATTAAAGAGACTGTGTTCCTACTAGCATTTCCATAAATTGCCTGGAGTTAAAAATACAGAATCAGACACACCTAGGGATGGGCTTGGGTATCTGCATTTTACAAGCCAATCTGGTGATTCTTGAGTTCAGGCAAGTTTAGGAAAAAAACAAGACTACAGTCATCCTTCCCCGCTCAGCCCACAAAGCTGCTGCCGGCCAAGTTCAAGTCTGCACAGGACAAGAACTAGGGCCACCCTTTCCCCAACCAACTTCCACTTTAGTCAGAGCACTCTGTATTTGTAAAACCACTTTCTGAGACAGAGCTCTCAAATGCAAAGACCCGTGGAGGCCAGGCAGGTAGCGCAGATGAAGCTGGCCTGGTGTGGGAAGAGGGAGCAGTGGGGACTGTGGCAAACAGGTCCTGAGGAAGAGGGTGGCTACAACTCACTCCTGCTTGTCACTGCTCTACAAAAAGGTGAGCCCGTTGCTACTGCTGGATCTCCTCACTTCTTAAGCAAAGTCAGAATCCGCCCATGGGAATGCCCAAGACCTCCCAGGTTCGAATTCTGACCAATTACTTAACCTCTTGGGGCACCAGTTTTATCATCTGCAGAAGAAAGACAAATACGCCTGCCAAAATGCACAACCCGATTGTAAAAATGAAAAAAATACCAGAAAAACCAGACTGAGGCAACATTCTGCAAACAACAGATCTGGTCTTTTCAAAACTGTCCGTGTCTCAAGGATAAAGAGAGGCTGTTCCAATTACATGTAACATCCTGATCCTGGATGTAAAAACCACTGCTAGAAAGGACATGATTGAGACAAGTGGGAAAGTGAACACGAAGGTTCCATTAGGTTGTATGGCATCAACGTCAGGTTTCTTGAATTGTGTGGTCATGTAGGAGATAACATCCTTGGTTTTAGGAGGAAGTATTTAAGCATGAAGGGTCACCGTATCTGCAATCAACACATATGGCTCAAGGGCAAAAACACAGTGATTCTCGTCATTTCACCGTTTCTGTATTTGTGAATCTGCCTACTTGCTGAGGTGGAGTAAGGAAACCCTCTGCCTTGTTTCAGCTCTCATGGTCTACTGAGTGCCAGGTTTTTTTTTGTTGATTTCACCACTTAAAATGGTTCTCAAGCGTAGCGTCCCGGAGTGCAGGAAGGCTGTGACGGGCCTTACCTACCTGTGTCAGGTGTAAGCGTCATTCATGCTTCAATGAGGGATGCTTCTGTTGGCCTGAATTCAATGTCAATAAGTCAACAATATATATTCAGTAAAATGTCTTTAGATAGAAACATACATAAAACCAGGTGACAAAAAAATATTGTGAGCAGAGGCTCGCAGGAACCCAAGCCCATATTTCCCAGAGAAGCGGTGGTTCAGTACCCGCTCACTCAGCGTTCACGGTGATTTTATAGAACAGAACTGAGAACAACAAGGACTGGCCGCATATATATTTCAGTTACTGTTCAATCAACTTTTTGGTAGGTTTAAAATTTCTCAAAATGTTGAAAAAAAAAAAATAATCTGTTTAGAGGCTCACCTGATTGGGGGCACCAGGAGAAATGACACCAGGCAGCCCAGGCCCAACAAATACAGACACGAGAGGCATCCCTTATGAGTATATTTATGTGTTCACACACACTCGCACACACTCGACGCTGAACAGGGAGGGGGAGGTCACGACAGAAAGGACAGGAAGCATCCAGATGGCACTGGCATGGGCAGGGAGGAGGGACAAAGGGAGCATTTGTCCTGGCTCTGGCTCCCATGGGTGGCCTCCTGACAGGAGGCGAACCCGGAGCTGGAAGAACAGGAAGTGCTTCTTCTCCTAGAGGAAAGTTTCAAAGTGCAGTAATTTCTCTTTAAAAAAAGAGCTTCTTCCCTTCACTTCTGTCCCCTGACGAAAGCTCGCACCCTATGCAGGCTGCCCTTGAGGCTGGGGCAGAACAAGGTCATGGGGAAGGGCATAAGGCCAAAGCTAGGAAGTGCCCAGGCCCGGGAGGGCTTAGGCATAGTGGCTGCCTGGTGTCAGGGGGTGGTCTCCTCTGTGGTCCAGCTGGTCCTGCAAGCGGGCGAACTCAGCCAGCTCGTTGAGCTCCTGGAACTGTCGGTCCGTCTTATGGCTGACCAGTGAGCGGTAGAAGTGGACAGCAAACACAATGAAGACCAGGCCGAAGGGGACCATGATGGTGGTTGAGGCGATGGCAGCAGCCTGGCCTGGGGTGATGCCGCCCGTGCCACCACTGCTGTCATTGGAGACCGGGCCGCCTTGGGGCTTATTAGTGGGCCGGGGCTGGCCCGGCTGCCTCTTGAGGGGCAAGAACTTGACCCAGCAGAGCAGCACCACCTCAGCCAGGAAGAGCAGCGTGCCGATGACAGTGGAGAAGGCCCAGGCCAGCTCGATATGGCGA